CTCCATTAATTACATTTATAGTTTACTTAAATTAGTGCTGCTGGAAGGAAAAGCAAAGGAGGAAGATTCTTCAGTCATCACAGAGAAACATAAGAAAAAAGACTATCCTTTCCATAAGCTATAGAATCTTTCATTACGATAAGCAAGAAAAAAAAAAAAGCTTTCTTTTCTAAATTGATACATAACAGCATTCTTTTCTCAAAACAATAAATTGTGGTTGATGGTAAAAACAGCAGTGTCAAATTCAGTAAGCCACTGCAGTGCAACATGTCAGAATTGTCCAATAGCAATTCTCTTGCCCGAGATGAAAATTAACATGTCTGAAAGGATTTCCGTAGTAAACTTTTTCCTGGGGTTTACGACACAGCTATAAAAAAAAAAAAAGAGCTGAAACTGCATGAGTTCAAAGAATTCTGTTGAATTCTCTTTACAAAAGCCAAAGCAGCAGTCAAGATACTTTTCTTCTAACATGCTTTGGCACATATGTCTGCATTAACACCCTGTAGTCCATACCACAGGTTGCCAGCATGCACTATTGCAGACAGCAGCACTCTGAGCATGCAGGAAACATTTCAAGCTTCAATGTTCTTCCACGCACCTCCGCATGCAACACCTGTAAAGTGCAGTAGGTGAAGCAGTTGATATGGAGAACTCCCTGGATGTGGAGATGGAATTCCCAGTCTGCAGGAAAGCCACCAAAGGAGCCAGCTGTGCAGAAAGGCTGGTTTGCCCTGTACAGTTATCTCACAATTGTTTAAACGCCATATACACAGCACCTTAAAACCAAGGCTGCCCAGGTGTATTCTTGGACTCATGAAATATCTAATACCACACAAGACAGTGCATTACTCTTGGGATGGAATCAGAGGGACTGACTGGTTAGTATAGTAAGAAGACGACACACTGAAAGACTGCTGGAGACGATGGTTAGGTGGAAAAAGCAGAGCAAGCTCCTGGCTGAAACAGTATTGTCCATCCCTACATCACTGGCCACACGTTCTGACCACGCTGACCTGCCTCTCTGCCTGAGAAAGCTCCAATGCACGTCAGATCGTACACTGAGCCCCGTATAGCTACAGCTTCAGACTGTGGCAGAGTATTTGTGCACTTTTTAAGCTATTCATCTTACTGGATGATAGCAATAAAACTTCCATGGTAACAATTAGCTATTGCTCATGAAGCACTGCAATTTCAAGGCATCAACACCTAATAACTTTTCCTATTCATCTTCTATACACAAGGCTATCAAGGCTTCCATTTCCTTCAGGAAGGAATTATCAAGGTGTATGAATCACTCTGTGCATATATATCTATCTAATTACACCAAAATGTTAGCCTGACCTCTCTCTCTGAAATTTACATAGACCTGTTTACCGGAGTTTGACAAATAGTTTAAGATTGGTAAAAAGGTATTAAGTGGCCGTTACGTGTTAGACTATATGATGAATTATGTGCTTTAGTGTCATAGCATAGACCTATACAACACGGAACCCACGAAGAAATTTGTTTGCCTGGGTTATTGCTCATGCATCCATTATTCCATGGCAAATGCACATGTGTAAGATCATACACTATTGCTATTAAGCTATTGCTGCTCCACAGTAACCGGCTTACAGCTTTACGTCCCCTGGAGTGTATCTTGTCTGGAAGCCTGGCAGCGGCTCATGCCTGGTCTCTGAATGCTCAGCAGCATGTCATGCAATAACTGACACCAGAGGCAAGTTTCTCCAAGTTCAAGGATGCTGTATGCAAGGAGATTAAGAAATGGAAGCTAACAGAGATTAGATTAGGAAGGTGGTCAGAAAATGCAGAGATTTGGAGGAGGGACTGAAATTAGGTTGGAGAGGCATACAACTTCAGCAGGTGCAAACTCATGTACCTACAGAATCAAACCACAAGCCACAGATTAGAGCTGAATACAGAGAAAGGAATACACAGTTCCTGGTTTTACAGAAGGTGAGTGCAGCAAATCTGTGCCCATCAGCTCAGTATTGACCAGGACTGTAGTCCTGGTACAGTCTAATTAAACAATTTCATTCCTCTTTTGGAAAAGCAAAACCAAACCAAAAACAAACAGAAACTGCTTCTTGACTAACACTTTCAAAAACAAAAGCCACTTAGACAGGGAACAATTAAAACAATGTAAGATGCTGGCAAAAAAGTGTGGGGGGAACCCAATGCCTAGCAAAAACTAGCAACATCTTCCTCAATCAAAAAACCTGCTCTGCATGTTCCTGTATGCTTAGCCTCCCATGTGTTTAAATAGGCAAGAAAAGGTAACTGTAACACTTCTGACTGCCTTCCAATAGTAAAGGGCTGTACATTTGCCACAAGATCTCAGTTTCTTATGCCATGGAAACATATATATACAAATAAACATGATTTACCCCCACCCCCTCAGTCATTAGTTAAGTCACGCTGCATCCCCTTTGCTTAGGTATATCAACCGCTCTCACTCAAAGCAGAAATTATTTTCTTACTATGCATATCCCAACAAGTAATAATTAGACTCCTTTCAGGACAGGTCCAGCATAGGCTAGCATGAAGAAGGATTTTCCTTGTAGTGACCCAGAGACCTATTGAGCAATTGGCCTTTGAAACAAAGTTTGATGTCTGAACAAGTGATACCCTGGCAGAAGTCCTGAGAGTGCTAGTTGGTGTCAGGCTAGAGTCAATTGTGTTGAGCAGGGACACGTTCATCAGAAACTATGAGGAGACCCCTTTTTCACCACAAGCTGAAAAAAGCCATAAGCTAATTTTGCTTATCCTCCTGGGCTATATTTGAACTGGTGACTCACCACATACATCTTACTAGCAGTTCCTTCAGCCAGCCATTTCAGCCTCCTTCTCTAAGCTCCAGAGGTCATCTGAACTCAGCAACTATCACTGTGCACATAGGTCAAGTAGAAAAATGCCACTACTGCTGGCAGAAAATATAACTAATTCCACCTCTTGGAACATAAGCAGCTCTTAACATTTAAAAGCTCTGTAAAATGAAAGAACAGCTACTATATTAGACAAAACAGCATGTGGATTCCCTGCAACAGCTGCATACGATGGCCTTAAGTAGTAGTTTCTCCCTATTGGAGGCATTAAATGTTCAGCTTGGTCCATACAAGAAAAGCATAAACAATACGTGTACTTTTAGAACATGCCACTAAGGCTATTCTGTTCCTCAAAATTTTGTAGTGACTTTCTTTAGTGTAAACCTTTTCCTCTTTGGTCTCAAGATAATGCTTCAGGAATTGTGTTATTCTCAATTATAACTATGAGAAGTTATTCTTTGAAGTCTTTCAGAGGTTTATTTTGCTTGCCAAGAATTCAAAAATAGCTGTAGAAAGCAAGAAGCTCCAAAGTTAGCACAGATGCTTCCCCATGGAGAACTAAAGTTTCATTTTCTTGGGTTTCAGGGTAGGGAGGGATGTTTAAAAGGCAAGCAACTGGGCAGAAGAAAAAAACAGCACACAATCAGGAGGATCTGCCAAGATTTGTAAACTGAAACATTATGAAAGTTCATCTCTTCTAGGACATGTTTAGTGACGAGGAGGGACTTTAACCTCCCTGTTTTAACTGATCAGACGACCAAAAAGAAACTGGCACTAATGCTAGCAGAGCCTGCCTGAAGGACTCATTCTGCCACATAATGCCAAATCTTACAAATATTTCCTCTACTGAGCAAAGGAAAAAAAAAAAAAAACCACACACACACACACGCAAGCTATCCCTCTGTCCCTCTCATATCTCTCATATTCAACTTCTCCTCACACACATGCTGTATCTTGCTGATATTTCTGAAAGTGTCTTTCTTTGCTTTTCCTCTTACAATAGAAATACAGCCATTGTGAACTAGTCTGCATCATTCTAACACTACCTAGAATTGTAATTGTAGGATTGTCTCCCCAAAAGGCAAAGAAATTCATTGCCCATGCATGCACACCTATGCCTCTGAGTTGCATATGAAAGTTATAGGAAACAAAGGCGACATAGCATCCTGATAATTAAACGCTAGGCATTCTTGCAGGTATATAACCATCCAATCTTCTCATTTTATAATAGTTCTTGCCATGCATACCAGGAACTTGTTTTAATTGCTAATTAGTAACATACATGTTACCACTTGTTTTTTTATACAGGAGGGGGGAGGGTTAATCTTTTAATTGTGCAGTTCTACAAGATAGAAACTGTCAAAAATATTAACTGTAAGTTTACAAAACATAAAGAGTTTCCCCTCAATCATACTCAAACTGAAAAAGCAGAGGATGAATGTTTTATTTATTTTAACTCAAAACAGGTAAAATTACTATTAACAAAGAAACACTCCCTTTTTGTTTTTTCCTGAGCAGTTTACAGGGGATTAAACACACAATCCAGTGAAACTTAGACTAAGACTCACGTGAGCTGAAAGCCCAGTTTCTTATTTGCTACCTAGATCCTAGCCAGGGTGTACAGTCAATGCAATAATTTCTTTCTGGGACCCTGATTAAGCTTTAATCTTGATGATATCCTAAAAAAGGGATGGTAGGGATTGAATATACTAGTATCACTCAACTAAAACATCCCTAATTCATTTGTGAAATGTACATGCACCCAGAGTATAAATAAAGATAAGATAAGCAAATAAGATTTAAATACAGTGCAATGTCACTGAAAAGATATTAGTTAGCAGCAGCTTAATGGTAATCCACGTCTCTCATTTAGAGCATGAGAATTTTATGTTCCTACTGTGATTTTTTTCATCCTAATAAGCACTTCTTATGAGCAGAAGAGATATACAAAGACTATGACTGAAGCACAATTCTGAGGCCTGATTCTGCAATCTTTCTATTGCAGAGCAAGTAGCATGTGATTACTTGACCAGTCATTATTAAAAAAACAAAAACAAAAAAAAAAAACACACACACATACACCCAAAAACCCTATCCCTCAAGATGAGCAGCAGTTGCAGAATCTGGACCAAGAACAACTTCATATTGAGCATGTATATTATGAAATGGTCTTACCTCAGTAAGTGCATGCAGCTGTCCTTGATGCACACAGACACCCATAAACCTACAAGAAACAAGAAAAGAAAAGTGGTTTGGGCTTTTTCCCCCCCTTCTTTTTTTTTTTTTTTTAAAAAAAGAAACTGTATGATAATAAAAAGTATTGGCTGTGCCAAGAAAGGAAAAAGGGGGAAAAAAATAATCAGCCTCTCAGATACTGCATACCTCAAGCTTCATTATTTAGAAGTCTCAGCACAGAACAGTCATGCGCTCACACTACAGTACATTTTGAATTAACAGTTAAAAGAGCACAGGAGACAACTCAAACTGAGGATGGAGTTACTAATTTGACTACAAGTAAAGGCCAGCATATAATGATTTATGCAGAAAGGGATATTCCGAGAGTTCTCTCCAGTTCAAGGTATTGAAGCCAAGTAATCCAGCGTTGGTCTGCATGCTTGCATAAATAGCAAATTACTTCCTCTCTGCATTCTGTTGATTAAGCATAAAGATGCTTCCTCCTGTCCCATTTTAACCACTCAGAAATATGAGGGCACATATGTGCAGCATACATCCCTCCCTTCCCCACACTGACATTTTCAACATTTGGATTGAAGCAATTTTTATAGTATCCCACATATACAGATACCACAGAAGTTAGCTACGTTGCATGACACTCGGATTCCTGCTGTTAATATTAATGACTGCCACCCTTGATTTTTCTACACAGTGACACAGAACGTGCAATACATTTAATAATAGAACAAGTGAAAGCTCATCTCTACCACACACAAGCTGAACTCATAAGTGACAAAATGCAAATTAAGGGTAAACATCTCTCATTAAAAAGTTCAATAAAACTTAATTTGTAAACACCCTAGAGCCTTCAGAGCCCCTCCCTGCACAGTTAAAGCAGGTTAAAGCTGGTTATTTTTAAGTTAACTAATTTTCATTACATTGTTGAGATTTTAGTCTCAATAGGCAAAAATATGTCTGTCATTTCCACAATGTCCAGAAATTTCCAATTTGCAAACAAGGGGTAGAAAGGCATGATTTCACTAAATGTGACAGGGGAATCCCATAGAGATCTATTTGAAGGAAAAAGACCTTTAGTATCTGCAAATGCTTCCGAATTTAGAAAAAAAAAAATGATGCAAGAGACATGTAGTACTAGTTAAGCTAAGCCGCTTTTGAAGAAATGAATGATCCTCACTGTTCTCTTGTCCAACAGCTGACTGGTAAATGACAAGCAGCCCAAGAAAAATAACACAGGTAAGGTCCTTTGCGTAAGCTGAGCTGTGGAAATCTTTTTTTCCAAAAAAGAAGCAGGACTTGTACTCTAAGTCTGTTGCCTGCTCTCACCTCAGATAAAAGCTTCTCCAGATCATATATGACCTCTTCCATTTTTATGAACTCATTTTTATGGAAGAGATGGTGCAAATACAATTTCTCTTGTTCAGTGCAGAACAATGGAGCAGTACAAGGTGTTCAGGGAGGGGAAGGGGGGGTGATTTCAGCTGTCCCACCTACCCAGAACACTGCTGCTCCTGAGTTTCACCCTATAGAGCAATTACATAGGAACAATTTAGTAAACAAGTTTACAAATTAAGCCTCCTAAGACTAAGAAATAGAGACTCCTCCGAGGCAGAAATCTGTTTCTACCTTTTTTGCATTCTGATATAGTCTCTAGCTATAAAGCATGGTGTTTTACTCACAAGCAAAAATTTAGAAACAAAAAAGACAGCCCTCCTCTTAAAACATCTATCTCAAGTTCACTATTATACAAGTTTTGAAGTCTTGAAAATCCTATTCTCTCCTTTATGAAACATACTAATGATACAAAGTTAACATGGTACTGCAATACTTTCATTCAACTAAAAACTAAGAGTAAATATAAATACTATTGCTTTCATCTATATACCAACACTTCCTCTAGTAAAGGTATACTACATTGCTGTCAAATTAGGAAACAGTGTTTGGTATACAGACCAAACTTCTTTGTCAACACAGCTAACAAATACCTGAATTAGAGTAAACCTTCTTTATGGAGGATGTTAAAAACCAAATTGCACTTGGACAGCAGAAATTTCAGAGTTGAAGAGGTGATTATTTTACAGACTTAACTGGCCAATGCACAGCTTGCAGATGACTTTCCCCTCATCTAGAAGATCCTAAGATCTGGACACTTTCCCCAAAAATCTGATTCAAACATTTCACTTACAGATTGTTACATGCACTTTGTGTATTTTTCAAGAAGAGTTTTTCACTGTATTTGGCTTAATTCTAAAATATAAATGCAGCTAAGAATTTGAGAAATTTGTCAAAATTAAATTTCTTATCTCATCTTCACCAAATAGGAAAGACATCATTGTCACCAAACGACAGGTAGAACTTAACTTTTTCTGCTGGCTTATTTTGTTCAAAGGACAAATGGAAACATATTTATTAACTTTGTGAAGCTACAGTTAAGGCAGAGAACACTCACTGACTCAGGTTTCCAAGAGTAAGAGTTTAAAGCTCTTAAATATCCAGCTTTGCTACTGGGAAACAGCCATATATTTCTAACTTTAAATCAGAAATTAAAACAAAGCTCAATATCATGATCTTATTTAAAAAAAGCAGGACCTAAAAATGTATTTATAAAATCCACACACTTAGAAGTTATTACCCTGGGAAAGAGAAATCAGATACACTGATAAAGACAGTGTTAATGAGTTACAAGCAACATGCTGAAACTATTTAAATATTGTGTCAAGAATCTCAGTTTTCAAACTCTGGAAAATAGATTCATAGAATACATCTCTAGCGACCCAAATTCCTGGAAAACTTCTTAGCTGCTCTATCAAGCAATAAGCAACCTTTTAGTAAAGCCAACTGCTGCTAGACAATAATTTTGGAAAGTGTTTTCACTAAAAGATAATATGCAGCTGCTACCAGGAAATATAATTACCAAGTAAGATTTGGCATAACAATTCAATTTCTGAGATTGTCCCAGATGAGATTCCAATTCTGTGGATAGGAAGCGGATACACCGTCCAATACATTTAGGATTATTCCTGTTGGCCAGACGCACTGTCTCCAGAGCCAAGATGTGCTTCTAGGTGAACTTCAGCGCAAAGTCTTGTCAGCCAAGGGCTACACTTCCTATAAGCATTTCTAGTTGGAGAGGCTTCAATGAACAATACAGGAGACATGAACAGACTTAAGGAAGCATATTTTCAAGACTGTGTATCTGGCCTTATCAGGAAAACTGAATTACTCCCAAAGTCATTACTAGCGGTTGGAGAAGTTTCCCCAGAAGCTGCAAACATGAAGGATGCTATTTGAGTCCACCCTACTAGCACAATGCTAAACATTTCCACTACAAAACGCTTTCTGACAAATGTCAACAACGTTCAGATGTTGAAAGGCTCTGGTTCTGACAGCCAGGTTATTCTTCAATCACTCTGTAGTACCTGTCCTCCTAGACAAGAGCAAGCGAGCGCTCTGGACGTGTTTTTGCTCCTTTCGAGCAGTTACTCAAAGTGCTTTCAGTCATGTCGGACTGTCGGGGAGGAAGAATTCTGGACAGGAAGAGGGAAACTAAACTGTAGTCTTAGTCTCCAATCTTAGCCTCCTTGATAAATCAGACAAAACTAATATTCAGATTACACAGCTATTGTGGGTCATCCAGACATTGAACACATGCTTCCCATTAAAGGAACTTCACTGCAACATGTTTCTCTTCTGTGGATAAACCTAGGGTAGCTACAGTCCAAGGTAATAAATTGGTACCCCCTGAAATCCACTGCTTGTATGAGAAAACTCAGGGATTTGGTGGTAACACTAAAAATAAGAAACAAATCAGACACGCCAATACAAAGTCCTCCCATATGAGTTTAGCAACATGAAGAGAATCTAAGTCAAAAGACAGATGCTTATTCCATTGCATTGACTGTTACTGGAGAAGGAAAAGGGTGAGTAAGAACATTAAATCTGCATTAAAACCTTTCTTAATGTTTTAGACATCATGCTAAATTAAAAGTGCATTTTAAGTTTTCTACACTTGCATTATGATCCACAAAAAACATACTGTAGTCCCGAGGTAAGGCATTTCACCTATCCCTTCTGTAACATATTACACACAACACACAGCCTCTCTTCTATTGTTTGGTGCACAGCACTTCTAAAATAATCCTGATAACTGCATTACGTATACAGAAAGCCAACTTAAATATTTTTCCTTTCTGCTAAGCCACTGTTCAATGCAACACAAAGGATGCTAAAAGACAAAATCCATCATTCTGCCTATTGTTTTTTAAAAAAAAAAAACACAAGTAATTTCACAAAAGGGGTAGGGGGGATGACAGGAGAAAACCAGAACAAAAAGAAACAGACTGGTATTGTATTCCTGAGGTGCTGCATTTGTCTGAAAGTAGATGAAAGAAAACTCTCCTTGAAAGAAGTTCACGTAATATGCACACTGCCTTTTTATCTTTTTTTTAAATGTGCACAGAAGACGGGTTTAATCAATGAGTCAATCTGCCTGCACGTCCACTGCCAAACATGCAGCAATATCTCCAAGTGCTCCCATGACAGCACTTAAGACATGAGCTAAGGCTTTCTGTGTACAGAATGTTTTAAATGAGGTCCCTAAGGTACAGATTAAATAAAGAAGTATTTTTCAGGCAAACAGTAGTGATACTAGAGACTGAAATTCCATCTCAAAATTGAAAATACACTACATTAAGAGACAGCCCTGGAGATGAAGAATCTGGGTTAGCACAACCTTTCATTTGTGTAAATAAGGAAAACACACCTGTAGGACATTATGAGAACAAGAAGGTATCAGGTCTCAGGCTGGAGCCCTACTACTCCCAGACTAGGACACCGACATGGACCCCAAGTCCCTTCCGGTCCTATTTTCTTGTTTTGTTTTGGGTAAGAACTCACGACTATGGGGCACATTAGCATTCAGAGGAGCAGCAAAGTGATGGAAAACACTTACAAGCATACACTGCGTCTTTAATAGCCCTGGTACTAGATCTAACTCAAGCCTTGACCAGTGCTATGTTGTAAGTGGGACAAGTTAGTAAGGAAGGGAAGAAATGCTCCAAACTTTTCGCTCCCTCTAATTCCAGTTATTATAGTCTTACCATACATCAGCCACTTGAAATTAGAGCAGCTACAGTAAACTTCACATGGTACAAACCAGATCTCCAGCTCAATTTCCCATGCCTGCTTTTGAGGGAAGATGTGATAAGCCAAGCTGCCAGAAAGCAACACTTCCCACACTGCAGAAGAAGCAGCGTAGATCAGAGGCAGAAATGTGTTCAAGTCCTCCAGCTTGCATGCAGGGGTGAGGTGGAGGTGGGAGATGACGTGAGATAGGGATGATGGTGGAAATACAGAAAAGCACTCAAACACCATTATTATCCTTTTGCTCTGTCCACTCCCAAAGTGTCCGTAATTTTATTCCCCCACTCCCCCCAAAAAGTTCTGGCATACAGAATCACATCTGCTAATAATAATAGGAAGAAATAAGGAGGGAAATAAGCAACAAGCCCTAAATCCCCTTACTTTTTACCACTATGCCAATGCAACTGCAAGACCTGTAGTCTTGTCATATTCCAAAACATCCTTAACAGACTGACAAAGAGGTTCTACTGTTGCTGAAATAATCCCTTAAGTAGTGGAGAGTAGTTTCTCACTTTCTTCGTGAAAACACACTAGAAAGTGTGTGTGTGTGTGTGTGTGTGTGTGTGTTTGACCATAAGAATCTTTGTAATGCTACCATGGGGGTAGCATACTTACTGGGGACTTGGTAAGTGGAAACTAAGTTCTTCACTGTCTTATGACCAAGATGATCTACATGACGGGCCAAGAACAGAATCTGAGCACAGAAACATTGAAATGAGAGTGGGGATATGGAAAACAGAAGACTCTAGTTAGTTTTTCATTCTCTACCCAGCAACACAAGTTATTCTTAAAGCCTAAATAATCAGACTGATACTTCACCGAGTACTAGTAGCAGAGATACTGGAGCTCCTTAACACAACTCCATCTCCTAAAGAAGTACAAAAGCGTCTAGGACTCCAAAATAAAATATAGACCTGCCTCTAGGTAAACCCTATAGAGCTAAGACATGGAAGAAAGCCAGCAAATACTGACAAACTCAGACTCCAGAGACATAGGTGGTGGTAGGTTGGGAGAAAAACCTGGAGAGACATCACAAACTGTGAAAATAAGCTGATATGGAGAGCATACAAAAAGTAGTTTCAAATAAACAACAGTACTAATTATTCACATCAGTGAAATTAATAGCAAAAGAGAAGAGTCATTGCAATATCATCTTTAAATTAACTGTGGGCAAGTTGGAGTGCATAACTGATAAGAAGCTGCTCTGCATTTTAGAGCACTGGATTTTCATTTTGTTTTGGTTTTTTATATCACCCAAAAGGATAATAATGATCCTTGCCTATCAACACCGTGAAGATAATCTCTTCTCTCTTCCACATAACTAATTCCATATAAACCACGGAAAAGTTCTAGAACAAAGGAACTGATTGGGTAACAAATTTTAGTTACTAAAAACATCACTAAGGATGTTCACAAATAAAACCGTACTCAAACTAGATGAAGGAAGATTTTAGTATACTAAAATAAATGCATCATGGCTGAGCCTAATAATTACTTTCTACTAATATTAACTAATTGAATAGTAGATGCTGAAATAGGTTGAGAATGGATGTTGGATGCCATAAACCAGCATTTCTCCAGTTTCGTAATTTTACGAAGCCATTTCATAGGAGAGAAACCTTCCCAGCCCTCTCCCTGCCACAATTAACCATTGCACAGGCTGAAACGTTGAGATCATCCTAAGAACCCACTGGCATCCTTCCTGGCAAACCACATATCAGCACTAAAGAAAAGCCACCGTTTACAACAGAAACAAACAGCAGCTAGTCCTAGACCTTACAGGAGATGAAGAAGCTCTGATGCACATACTACATAAAAACCAGTGCTCACATTCAAGGTAAGTGGAGGAGATCCAATGACTAATCAATAAAAAAATTAGACTTGATGCTGGTGACAGAACAGCTTCCTCAGTGATAAAGTGAAATCACTTTAAAAGACAGAAGTTGGAAAGTAAAGAAAAGACCATTTAACAGCAACTGAAGTAGGTTATAGACCTGAAACCCCTGGACACAGGAAGTTGTGCAATGGAATTTATTGGAAAAGGTACATTCCCTTAATACTAAGACAAGCTTAAAAGTTCCAAAAATCATCCCAGAAAATGTTTCCATAAAAACATGTTGTTATAGAACATTTTTCTAGTGACCTTTCAGCAATACTACTCTTGATTGCTCTTAGTCAATAATACCATATTTTTAACCTCTCATCACTATAAAAGCAAATAGGTATCAAGTATAATTTTGAAGTGTGTTTTTAAAGTGGTGAACAGGTCCTAAGCTAATTTTAAAACATTATCATTAGCACCAATAATTTATAGGTTTCTGAAATACACATGTTTAGCTGTGTGCCTGTGTGTGTGTGTGTGTGTGTGTGTGTGTGTGTGTGCGTGTGTGTGTGTGTGTAGATATATGCATGCGTGCATATAAAAGCATAGAGTAAAATGCTTACAGGCAGATAACATTTAAAAAAGAGAAAAGTCTTCTCCTAAACATCATAAATGGACCGGAAACGCTAACACCAGATGAACTTAAGTGAAAAATAAAGTTAACTAACACAAAACTCATCAAGCTATCTAACACAGGAAGAAAATATAATAGTATTTACTGCATATTATTATTCAATAAAGAAATAAGCTAAAGCTAAATACAGTCTTTCCATTTGCATTGTCTGCAGGAATGATCTTGGTGCCTGCTTGAAGAGTACTTGCCTTACTTGCAAGAGAAAGGCAATGTTTTTACCAGAGTCTCCTTGAAGAGGCCTCAAATCAATTTTATAAAGCAAGCAACATTTACTCTTCCAAACAAAATTATGCGAAGATCATCCCCTTCTATTTGTCATCTATTTATTATATATTCACTTATAATTGCTTATTGGAGCACATAGGGGAAAAAAAAGATTTACCTATGAGTCCTGTGTAGAAACCAGGAAACCAAATGGAATTTTTCTTCCGGTTTATGCATAAATCAATACATTATTGTTCTTTATTTAGGACCATCTGTGCAACACCACTGACTTCAAATTATTCATTGGCTTTAAGGCCAGAGGGAACCAGCTTATCATCGTATGGTTTCTTACACGTCATAAGACATTTAAAATTCGGTGATTATTCAGAAAAGAGTATAATACACTTTTGTTCTCAGCAACACCTCTGTAACACCATTCAAGGGGGATAGGGTTAGATTAAGCTGCAAATGAATGCTTTTTACCTGTTAAACTATCCCTTTCCTACTTTCCCTCATCCCACCCCCAATTAAATACTTTACTTTCAAAAGAGCTGTAGAGCTAATTTTTTTTAAATAAAGATATACAAACCAAATAAAGGTGATACAGAAACTGCTGAAATACACTGACATCCTGATTCTGGCAATGTCAAACCTATGAAGTTATACTTTCCACAAAGCTTACGATAAAGTAGCTGTATCAGTCCCCAAGATCATATGCTGCATATCTAAGGATTCTGAGGGAAAGGAAGTGATGTATAGACGTAAGAAACAGTCAATGATCCTAAAAGCAAAGTATCTGATATCACTAAAAAAAAATTGAAGAACAAGAGGAGTTGCTGGCAACTAGCCTCACCTTGGAGCAGGAAAAAAAAAAGACGGAGAATTCTAAATAGGGATAGATTACTTCAACACTTGAATATATATAACATATTCATAAATAATAAACCAGTAGAATTTCCTGTGAGAAAAAATTCTCTAACTTTTTAGCTTTGCTGCTGCTGTTGTTTTTCTATCTCCCAGCAGATAATTCAGGTGTTTCTGATAGAGTTCCTCATAAGTACTCAGGAGACAAACAAGGTAATATTGTCACACATCAGTTGATGAGGAGAGAGGCAGGATTTCAAGGATCAGAAAAGCTGGTTATAAAGGTATTTCAAGAGTCACTACTATGCCTGTACTATTCAACAAACTGGAGGAGAGGAAATTAAGTTATTTAAAGTTCACTCTAACTTCAAAACTTTTCAGAAAGAGCTATATCAACTGAGACTATCAAAATTAATCCCAGCTGTGCAACAACAGTTTAAGAGAACAGGTTATTTGGTACACTATCATCAGCGAAGATTGTCATCATAAATTTAAACATCTTAATGTTATGGCTTTAGCTAGCTGTTTTAATTGCTTGTCACATCATCATAAGAGAGTAGCCGGGACTGAAAAGATTCAAAGGATAACAATAAAATAGTCATTGAAATATTTTGGATTTACATCCAGTAAACTATTGCAAAAGGAGAATTACCTTCTTCTTTTCAATATTAGATAAATAGATTGATTCAACTCTAGCTTCTTTTCTTCAGTCCCTCTTATCCTACCTTGCAATACTACAGCAAGGAAATGCTCAAAAGCAGAAGACATGCTTAAAAATAAGCCATGGCACTTTGCATAGCTAATCTGCAAGATTCGTAACCACAGATTATTTGAATGGTGAAAAGTTTGCAGTAATTTAAGTTCATGAACAGAAGTCAATTTTCACTCTTCATACCATCACAAAATTTTAATGCAAAAATGTGCTTTTCTCTGAAGAAAGTTACTCATCACTGGTAAACTCAAGATGCCAAAATCATGTACATTCAGTTTGCTCAAGTCTTTTCTTTCTTTCTTCCTCCTCTCCTTCCTCCACTAAAATCAGAAGCTGCTTCTAACAGATTCACAAAAGTAGAATTATACCAACAACAACAAAAGAGGAAATAGAAAAGCTCTGCTAAAGACACCCTTTCTCCATACAATCCACAAAATAGCATACCTTAAGATGTTTGGATGTGAGAGCCTATTCATAAGTTGAACCTCTTTCAGCATGTTTGCTCTGTTGCTATTCAGTGTGTTCATCTTCAAAGCCATTACCTGGTCCGAAGTTCTGTGTCTTACCTACAAGATACAAGCAAACAATGGTAAGGACATGGCCTAATAATACAAAATTCAAGGCTGAAAAGCCATTACTTTTGAAGTGTAAGTTACAGATCATTCGTGATACACCAGTTGATATCTTCTCTGATTTCTACAGTCTCTAAGACACAGATAATTTTCTATAAACACAGCATTCAAGTATAAAAAGATGTTTTGCTCTTCCTTTGCAACTGATGATGTGAGAAGGCTTAAGAAGTTGAAAAAAATATCTTCATTTAACAACTTCTTAGTACAAGCAAAAGAAGCAACTTCCTTGTCCAGGGAGAGAGCTCCCTACTCTAAACTTTATGATAAAAATTCCCTTTCATAGGTAGATTCCCTCCCTACCTATGAAACTCGCCTTCTTTCTGCCCACAGCCTTCTTTTCCTACTGAGGTGGCTGGTTTCACCGTTCCATAGAACGTGCTATGAGAAACCCTGGCAGCCAGAGGGGAGATTTCAGAGGCAGTCAGTGTTTAGTTCTAGACTAAGGCCATGAACCAGATTATCTATTTAGTGGATAAAAAGCACTCATACTAATCCATACTGCAAAGCAGAGAGGTTACTAGACACAGCATCACCTAGTCTGCAATGTCCAACAGCGGATGCAGAATGTCAGCATCAAAAAGAGGATGTCTCTGGCAGCTACTCAGAGACAACACACCATTCAGGGAGTTACCTCCACCAGACAGAAATGCATGAATGTGACCATTACTAGCTTGATACTCTCAAACTAGCACATCAGTCATCAGCAAACCAACCCATGTTATGTTATGTAGATGCGTGTTACTGTTAGAAGAGAGTTGTCACTATCTCATAAGGCTTGTCAATCTTTAGATGTTCTTTGCAGCTGGCCACTCCCACGTGCATATCAGTAGAACTAATGGAAACTGCGTTCCCATTACTTTCTTCCTGCATCAATACCTGCAGTTCCTAACCAGAAAGGGAGTACTTCTCAAAGCACTGAATTACCACCATGGTAAATTCATTCATGTTTTTCAAGATTAATTTCAAAAAGCCTATGATGCATTCGGACAATCCTACAGCTGCCTTCCCATGCTGCTTTGCAACCTGACTTCCTGACTTCTACTGACTTCTCAGTCCAATTACCTGCGTGTCTCTATCTCAGAGGTCACAGAAACCAGATATTTCCTCCCTGTTTATTGTGGGCAGGCAGCTAAGCTGTCCCCTTGCACTCTGATTCTTCTAGGATTAAAGTACTTCATTAGTATATCTAACATGACTATAGCTAGCTGCAAGGCCTGTCTGCTCACTGTGACTCCAAACCATGTTTTCTCATCCTGGACCTTCTTACCTTCTTCTGAAAGCCTGAAAGAAGTGGTAAGTAGAAGTCTAGGTACAGAACTAGCGACATATTTGAAGGAATTCTCATAATCGTGCTTGAGCAGGGCTTATGTTCAAAAGGACTAGTCACTATGTAAACACTTGTGGCAAGCCGATATGAGAAGCATCCTCAAAAATTGGTGGTTTGAATTTTCAGTTTACTGCTTAGCTACAAAGTTCTTTATCACTAATAAATCCTAAATATCATTCAGATAATTAAGTCACATGGACATGTCAGAGCTTTCTGAAAACCTAAACATTTACATTACTGCTACTGCTTCCTGGATTAAGAGCAGGAAAAAATAAGAAATAAACGAAATCTAGCCTGATTTATGTTTCAAAAGGCCCCTCTGACCTTTACTATTAACCGTACATTTCCAGGTGTCCTTGGAATGAATATCTTAAGAACATTCCCTAATATTGATGTTGTAAACGTGCCAATACAACTGTCAGCTTCAATCCCAGTTTTTCCACTGTATTTTCATTATTTTCCAGGTATATAATGATGATTTGGAAGTATTTTGTCATTGTTGTCTTCCAAAACTGGATTTAATCACCTTCAAGTTTTTTCTTACATTCTCCTCTTCCAGTATGCAGCCTCACCACTTCATATTATTTAGGGACCTTTTCCTATACAGCCTACTAAACAAATACATCTCTGCTTCTGCTACATCTCTCCCCTAAAATTATGTTGCTTCCCTAGCTCTAGTTACCAACACCCTTTCTTTCTTCATTCTGTGTTATATATCTCAACCTTTGCCTGGTCACTTCACCTCCACCTTTCTCCTCTTCCTGCTCATGTGTTCAAAGTACCATTTTTAAAGTAGCCCTCTCTAGCCCAAATGTTATGGCCTTCTCTGAGTTTGCTTCCTGCTTCGGACTTCACTGTAAACTGCACATATCTTATTTTTACTTATATTGATGCACCATCCTTACACTCACCGATTCAAGCGTTTCCTCTACACTCAGCTTGCAGCCTTCATGACGATAGCAACTGTCAAATGGTTTTTTAGCTAAGCAACTTTCAATTTCTTTCTCTAAGTGTCTCTAAATCTGTCTTCACTAATTTGCCAATATTTTCTCTTGTGATTACAGATTAAGAGATTGCCTCAGTTATCTTTCTAGGAGGCCATTTACACTAACTACGCTACACAGAATAACTTCGATTAACTGAGTCCACAGTAAACTTAGTGAGACACGAGATGTTAAAAGTTATTATTATAATTATTCAAGTGAAATAGCTACATGATCAGATTCCCTGCTAAGTGATAGGGAAACAATCCTGAAGCAGACCACTATTTCGCTATGATGCAAGGCCCATCTCAAAAGCAGCCTCCTTCCATACTGTGACAGCAGAAGGGATCTAAAAATAAAAAAAGTTAGAGCCAGCTGCATCTTGGTGGCACAGTTAAGCCACCAAACTCACATAGATAAATTTTTCCATGAACATATAGTCATGCCTTGAGGACAAATGTATTAAAAGATACATTAAACTCTTAACCATACATTTGATTGCAGAGAGCTTCTTTTAATTGAGAAGGCAAACGCGTTCTTCAGCTCAGATCTCCAGTTTTACAAACCACGCCTCTCTCAAATGTACCCACAGTTAGATATATATATTAATAGGACTGATGCTGTATCAAGTCAAAAGCTCATGTCACTAGAAAAACTTGTAGTAGTAACAAATAGAGGCTTAAAAAAAACACATCAGGCCAGATATTAAGCTGCTATATTGATGCTAAGGGAATGAAATTGGGTTGTGGCTTTTTTCAGAGTAGCAGCATATAATGTTCCTCCTCTCTAACTTCTCGTAGCAAGAGAGAAACATGCCAAGTGTAACAAAACTTTGCCAAACAGAATTAGTCAACGTACTAAAAAAGCTTTAGCACAGCTTCAGAAAACGTACAGAAATCATGCATAAAAAACCAACACCTTTTAAAAGTCTGACAGTAACTGCAAGTCTAATAATTTCTATTACTAAAATATTTGTGAGAAGTACACAGAAAAGTTGGAGCTTTTACCATTCCCTCTTCAGTACAACAGACTCGGTACTGGTCATCCTACTTTGATAACTTTAGTAACTTTTAACACCCCCAATTCAGCAAAGTAGAAAGTTCAATTACTACAGCCTATTTCACACCTACAGTCAAATAAGTTCTCCAAATTTTTGCCAAAATAAACCAAACTAAATTTATAATTAGTGAGAAAGTAGTAGTTATTACTCTACAAATCAATTTATGAATGCCAAAACCCCTTAATTTTTCCTTTGCATTTGTTTTTCTCCATAACCCACTGTAATGTAGAACCATGGCCCAGAATACAGCATTCATTTATTTAAAATGAATCATTTATTGATAGGAATCTGTACATATCTCTCTGCCATTAACTTGATCTCAAATCAAATCATAAAGCCAAAAAGACACTACAGTCTTATTTTGAGAGAAAGTACAAATGAATCAGAAGACTGTTGTTCCACAGTTTGAGATCAGATATGAACAGGCACAGCCTGGGTGGGGGAGTTGACTAATTTTGTAGCCAGTTCAGCAGAACGCAACCATATAAAGTTCCTTTTGCAATCCAGGAGAAAATTCAAACGTGGACACACCACTTAAGCGCCAGGCAACAAAATATAGAAGAACATAATTTTTTTGTTATACAACAACTTGAGTATTTAGCTCAGACTATACTCTATACCCGAGTATAAGGTCCTAACCCACTATTTCTTTTTTTCTTCCTGAGTACGAGTACAGGACTGGAAGCTCATTCTTCATTTTTAATGTCAGCTATCTCATCAGCTCATTGAATAGCACTGGGCAAGCTACTTCACTTCCCTACTTCCATTTCAAAGATAAGGTTACAGAGGGAGTGGAGGAGATATTACTGTCTACCTGCCAGGGGAGCAGCAAGTTTGAAATCTGCAAAAAAAAAAAAAAAAACCCACGTGATCCCAAGACATATTAAGACTGTGGTACATAATGAAATATGGTATCTGTGTCCTTATCTCTCTATTTCATTTTTAATGTTTATGGTTAAGTTCTTCCTTCATTGCTATGCTTTTATCCTGTATAAAAGGTGATGGTATTTATACAAGCTGCAGATGTTTATGTAAAACACTTCAGGTTGAGTTTTCCTAGTATGTAATGGCATCTTCAATCTTTTAGGGCCTATTAACAGGTTTAGTATTGGGTACACAATCCCCTCCATTGTACCAGTGATGTCATTCAACACTGCTCACCAGATGCACACATTTGTTAACTTTCTTTTCAAAATCTGTACGGGGAGCTTGAGAGAAAGCTTTATTTTGGTCAGAAATAATTTCCTTAAGTTCCCTTTATAAGTCTTTCAAATAAATGTCACTCACACACGAGGAAGGAAGTCAATCTCACATTTCAAAACTGAACATGCTGACATATAGCTATTGCTATTATAATCACAGTTATAGGGTTTGGAGGATGCAGTATAAAGGAGCTACATTTTGCTTACTTCAGGATATTCAAGTTTTATAAATTGCTACATTTAATGACTCTGACACTATATTCAAAAACAAAAATTCTAAATAATTTCTCGTTACTTAAGCCTTTAGGGAACTCCTGGTAAGAAAGTACCTATTTAAACATGCCATGCAATTTCTTATACAA